AACCTGAAGAAAACAGACATACAGGGTGTATACGTAAGTTACTTCTTTTGCTATTTAAAACACTTTCTTGCCATGACTTAACAGAAATGCACGGTTTTACAATACTTTTAAAATGGACAACGTGCATTAAATTAACCCTTGTTAAATGTGTTATTAAAATGTGAAGAACTGTATTTTACAGCACTTTAGCAACCTACAGTGCTTTAAATAGCTTCTATACATTCGTCAAATTTCTGACCACTGGAGAAGCCCCATGTGGTTATGGAGCCCACCCTGTCTCCTAACTTGGAAAGCGCAGGGCGTCTGAAAGGTTCCCTCACCCTCCAAATACTGCACTACTGCCATGTTTAAGAGTGTTATAACTTATATTGCCATAAAAAGTGCTCTAAATTATAGTGTGGTGAAACATGCATGGAGCTCTTTGGTTCACCCACAGGCCTTTTAAACTGGTTTAAAGTTGTGTGCAGAATGGTTCAAAAGCACACCTGGAAAAATCTCACATTCCATTGCTCCTACCCACACTGCTGCAACTGGCCCCTCTGCTACGTAGCCAAACTCTACTGCCCCTTTCCCTCCTTTTGTTGTTTAATCAATGAGTTTACTTGCACTGCTTGTTCAATAAAAGCTATCTTTCTAATAACCAGCTGTGTCCTCACACCCTACTTGACCTCAGCTCTAAGTCCAGTCTCTGGGAATCAAAATGGTGGGTCCAAGCACTCCCCCTCACCTCCTCCCCCCAGCACAAATCAGGAAAGCACACTGCAAACTCTGCTTAACTTTAGACTATTGAGGTTTACTGAATTCATGCTTAGGAGAGAAGGGGAAGGAAAAAAGTTAAAATGTCCTCAGCCATAGTTCACCATGTCCTGGTACTCCAAAAGCATGGGCGCAAGCACACTTCCCCACCTACTCACCCACTGCAAGGCATGCTGCACTGGGTTCTCATTCTCATGCCCTGGTCTTGGAGCCAGCACACTTCAGACAATTGTGGAGCAGCTCTCAATTAGTGACGTTTTGGAATGGTTTCATTATAGTGTGGACACACATAACATCTGTGATAGGGCTGCAGTGAGCAACACTTTTTTTTGAAGACAAGTTCTTAGTAGTTATTCAGATCACTAGCTTTGAGGACATTATACCAGAACAGAGTCCCTTGGGAAGCAGGTTGTGACAAATGAGGCTCCAAGACCTGCACCACATTTTTTTTTTTTTAGTTACACCCTTGTGAAAGAAAGCTCTTTGCTTTGTCTACCTTTGAAATGGCTGGGAAAGACTTTGGCTTTTGAAATCTGTACATTGTTGGGCCTGTTTTGTGAGCCAAGTATATGCTAGTATCCTATAGGTAGTACTTGACCTCCTTTTGCCTCCTTTCATAATTACTGGAAGGTCAGGTCCTCACCAGACTCATAGAATCAAGGCTACGCAGCCATAGATCAAGCTGACTATAGCTCATCATCTGCTGGAACATTTTCTGGAATTGTTTCTATTTCTTAGGCCTCTGACAAATGTTTAAAAGAAGTTAAGATGGGATCTGATGCATGCTCCCAACAACTGCTCTTCCTGCCATGATATATATGTACAGGAGGTGCAATTGTGAGATTGAACATCAGATCTCACCAGGATCCTGGGCTCCCTTGCACTGGCAATCTTTGCTTCCATGGCTGGAAACTCCATCAATTGATTGGAGTTCCCAGCAGCAGGGGCACACCGTGCACTCATGTGACTGAAAGGTCCAATCAGCTGACAGAACTCCCAGCCATGAGAGCACATGGTGTACCCCTGCAGCTGCAAGCTCCAATCACTGCAAGGGCTCCCAGCCACAAGGGCACACATTTGTTTGGATTGGGGAGGGGGAGGGGGGCACAACCTGCACTCCCATGACCTGGAGCTCCATCAGCTGATCAGGGCTTACAGCCAGAAGAGCTCACCGTGCTTCCCTGGGCTGGGAGCCCTGATCAACTGACTAGTGCTCCCAGCCTCTGGAGTGTACAGGAGTGTAATAACTTTATCACTTATTCCTAGTTTTATCACACTATTAACTGAATTAATGTGTCACTAGATCCTCTACTTAAGACGTGATGAACCAGTTAATCACATCTTAAGTGTAACATGTGTCAGGGGCCTTAGACTGTCTTAAGATGCAGAGTAAGGAAGATGGGTGAAAGGGAGTTTTGAAGGGTGGCAGTGAATGGAAGGGTTGAGGAATTAAGAAGAGCAGCAGCAGAAGAGAGACATAACAGAAGCTCACTGTCCCCAAAATCTTAAACAATACTGTAGGAGAGAGGCAATTCCTGATCTACTGGTAATTCAGCTCATGAAAGCAGACCTCCTGACCACGGGAATTAAGGGACACACTGCATTTTGTAGACAAATAACCCTGGAAACAGCATTTAACTCCCTGTTTTCTTTGCAGAGGCAGCCAGTCAAATGCTACACAAAATAGAGAATGAATCTGAAGAATCACTTTTTTATGTGAACAGCAGATACAAAATAGCATGTTTCATAAAAACAAATGCATTAGAATTCCTTTTTCAAAAAGGAAAAAAGCCTTACATTTCATAAACTGCACTAGGTACTTGGCTATGGTACAAAAAAGTTAAATATAGAACCTTAATGACAGCCTGCCTTTCTCTGGGGTCTATTTATTCCCACACTTGAACTATCCCTATACACACGTTTCAAAGCTAGGGAGGGGCCATACACATTAAAATAAACATCACACCAAATAAAACAGCAAAGCAAATAAATTTCTGTTCTTGTCTTTGTAGCAAATTATTTGTTTTAAACATGCTAGAGCTATGCTTATTTTAATAAAACCTAATATGATTCCAACTAAGTCATAATACATTTAAAAGGCCCACAAAATAGCAGGTACCAATGGGTGAATAACTCAAACAATTTTTTCCATGAATATTTTTCTTGAATTAAAAAAAAAAAAAATCAAATTAGCTTTTCAGCCAAGATACATTTCTGAACCTGCATGGATGCCCAGGGCAAACTAGCAATGGACCAATTTATTGAAACCCACCTGGACCTTGACTTGCAAATTAAAACTACTGAATGAAAACTGTGGAATTTGCTTTGCAACTGGCACTATCCCGCACCCTGAAATCAGGCCATATATATCCCACTTTTCATAAGTACAAATCCATGTCTTATTTATAATAAGAAAGAAGCTTCTAATACTTCAAATGTATGCATGAAATCTTTTTTAAATGCTTGAAAAATATTGAGGTCTTAAGTAAAAAAAGATACTGTCAATAGTGAAAAACAAAACAGAACTCATTGCATTATATATCAGTACAGTGAAAGACTAAATGTTCAAAAATGCTGTTTTCAGCCAAAGGAATCCAGGAAAGTAGCACAAGTACCTAGTAACACCTCATAACTAACAGTGAGGGGTAGGAGTTAGGCATTAATGGGCACAGAGTTCCTTTCTAAGTATCAGTTATAAAAAGTGTCTGGTCATTGAACACAAAAATGGAAAGGTAGGAATGAAGTGAACAGGCTGAAATACAGCAGTTATCAAACCAGAGCTTGTGACTATGCAGAAAAGGGGGTATTTAAACTGGACATAAGAACTGCCATTTACTGGGTCATACCACAGATCTATCTTGCCCAGTATCTTTTGTCACAGTGGCAGGGAGTAGATGCTGAAAAGGAGAGTAAACTAGGTATGACTAGGATTTTGTCCACTCTTTCTTTATTATTTGAAGCCTCCAGCACTTAAGGTCTACCGTAAAGACAGTAACATGAATCTTAAGAATAGTGACTGGATAATTCAGAGAAGTCTAACAACTTTTTTTTTTTTTAATGGAAACATAAACAGGAATACAAAAAGCAGGGTTTAAAAGAAGGGAATGAATAAGCAAACTATTGATTAGTATTTAATTTTGATTTACAGTTATGTGACAGATAATCCATAAGTAAAATTACTCAACCAAACTGAATACTCTTTTGGCTTGGAGTCCAGGGGTATATAGCACTACAATTTTGCCAGTCAAGTGAAGCTCCTATTTGGCTTTCCTGTGACTAGAAGAGTTTTATTAAGATTTTCTACTCTTCCATCTTCAAGTCTCAAAGTGTTTTTTTTTAAAGACAGTTAATCCAGAAATAGAATTATTTTACGCAGTTGGATAATTAAGGCATAGGGAAATCAGTTAACTTATCCTAAGTTTAAAGGCCACGGCTGAACATGAGTAGTGACCTAAGCAAGTCCCTCACCTCTAACAGCTCAGGCCACATATATATGTTCATTTCTAACAGAAGGAAATTTCCACCACTGGACAAGGTTTCTGGAAAAGGGAATGGTATAGATGTTCAAATCTGCAACTCTGATCCTTGCACATTCCTGATACGAGGGTGATCCTGGTTGGGAACTCTGAAGCGAGAGCAACACTGCTTCACGGGGTCAGCTCATGGGTCTCAGAAAGGCACAGAAACCTTTTCTCCCAGCTCCACTACTCCTGCCCCAGGAGGAGTTAAACCTTGGGAAAGTGTACAGGCATTCATTCTCTGGGGTCAAACTGCAGGGAGAGATTTCTCTCTGGCTGCAGTTGGGTCACTTTGCCTCACAGCAGCCATTTTTGCTTTGGAAAGAAAAGCTGGAGTATCTGTACGCTTTTGGTTTCTACTGGGAGAGTGGTGATTCTCTCAATTGAAACTGAATATCTGTATATAGCCTCAGTTTACATACCTGGACATTTTCATAATGCTGATGCAAGTAACTGTTCCTTGAAAAAGGAAACTGGAATGACAGTATGTTTGCTGTCTTTAAAATTCATGTTTCTATCTGCATCTTTTTAAAGTGATCATCAACAAGGATATCCAGGTACATTTAACAGTAAATTTATTATTTCTCCCCCCACACACTACACTGTATGAAAGTTAGTTTATTTTGCATAAATAAAAATCTATTCTTACCTTTTAATTTGCATTTGCATTCAAGTCTATTAAAAGATAAAATTTCACTGAAGTATAGTAATAAAAGAAAAGGATATTTTCCTGCAGTTTCCACACCCACTCTGTAGTCAACATAGCTTTTGGACGGATGGAAGTTGAATATAAAAATGAGATTTGCCCTCTCAAAAGCTATGACCTTATTTGACTCATGTTTTTCACTCACAAAACCCTAAAAAGAAAGAGATAAGTACATTTCAGTTGTTACAAATAAGGTTTTATTTGCTATTAGAATGGCAAAAATAGGGAGACACATTGCAGCCTTACCTGAATTCAGCTGAAACCAAAATGCTGTCAAATAAAATTAAAGTGGTATTGATATTTGAGTTAAAGTCTAAGCTCAAATTCTGTCTCACAGTGTGTAATTTCACATAAGATTTCAGATCACAAAACTACATCCTTAAATTTTTAAACATCTGAGGAAGATGTGAAAGGATAAAAAGATAATAAAATAAAAGTCAACTACACATTTTATTTTGTCAATTGGTGGGGCTGAGGAAGGGGAGCACTTGAAGGAAGAACTCCAAGTGAAATTAAATTATGCATCAATGTCCATACTTTTCTTTCCACAAATAGATTTCTTATACTAAAGGCAATTTCCACTTACATTCTTGACTGGATCAGCATTCTTTCTGTTGGTGGTTTAGAAATGAGTATACTTTGGGCATGTCTACATGTTGCCCTACAGCAATGTAGCAATGTGCTACATCACTGTACAGTGTACAGTGTACAATGGTGATGTAGAGATCATGTGGGTCTACAAGTAATAGCCAGCTACGTCACTGTAGGGCATGCTCTGATGTAGCAGCAAGATTAACAGTAACCACCATACACAGCAACGTGTTGGCACACCCAATGTGGAGTAAAGAAAATGCCTTTTGGTACTCTGTTACATGCTTGATGATAAGGACTATTTCTTAGTTTGCCACCAATGTTGGAAATAGTCTTGATAACCCACGTGAGAATATTTATTACTAGCAACAACAAATTATCACACATATACTACCTTCACTTTATTTTCCCTGCATTAGCAAATACTTAATCAGATGGCTAATTTAACAGATTTTTAAGAGACTAAAATCAAATTGACAAATTGAGTATTACATAATACATAGTAAGTATATATAAAAAATATTAGGCAATTGAAAACTTATTTAACATTAAGAAACCAGATTAGTTCTACCTCTGAGTAACTTTAACAACAAATAAATAAAATATGCAGGTGAAGTGGCACCAAGGCTTCATATGGATATTACATCTAGAA